CTGTGAAAGTTGTTCCCTGGCCCCTTCTGTTTCGAATTCACCACTATAAAAGAAAATGGAAGTACACAATTTATGTCGGACCGCCACTGGTCTCAACAAATTGGAACTGGCCCCCGGCTTAAAAAGGTTGAATACCCGGGGTCTACCATTATCGGATTCTTTGGATTTCGGCCTAAATCAAGGCCCGTGGTTCATGTTAAATTTCAAATTGCTAGTTGTCGATGTGGATAGACCTATATAAATTACGTAGTTATGCACGCACAAGCATAAATATAAAATAATATTTATTTATTTATACATTAGATCTGAGAAAAAAAATAATCTTGGTGACACATTAGAAGCACTTTTGCAAATTTACAATACAAATATTTTATTAGGTAATCGATAATAGAAACTGGTTATACAATAGTCTTAAAACGCAAAATGTGAACAAACACATTGTTATTTAGTAAAGGTTTTTCATTGTATTAATTGGTTAAATGGGAAGGCCGGTTTGGCGCAGCGATTTCCATTCAGGTTGTCAACCTCGTCGTCGAGGGTTCGAACCACACGTTGACCATTCTCGGCCGGCCATGCCTAGTTACCCGACTTGCTTGCACTGTTGACAGGTTGTAAAGTGGCTCCCGCTATGTTTCCGCCATAGGTTCGAGTATTTCATGGCTTAAAAAATTTAATAAATATAATTATAGTGGCCTCTCACCAATATTGATGCTAACATCAGGCCTGATAAAAAACTAACGTTTGTAAATTCGAATGTTTTGACGTCGCTTAAAAATCTGTAATCGCATTATATTATTTCTGTATTAATGCGTTATATTATTTCTGCATTGCATTATATTATTTCTGTATTGCATTATATTTTTCATATTGCATTATATTATTTATATATTGCATTATATTAGTTTATATTGCATTAGATTATTTCTTTATTGCATTATATCATTTCTGTATTGCATTATATTTTTCATATTGCATTATATTATTTATATATTGCATTATATTATTTTATATTGCATTAGATTATTTCTTTATTGCATTATATTATTTCAGTATTGAATTATAATTACTTCTGTGTAAACACACGAAGGACTTACAAATAAACACAAAAATATCCATAAATTAGCATAAAAGTTATCATTGGAAAGATTCAAATATCCCACAATCAGTGACTAATAATAAGACACTTATCAAGCAATCTATAGCTTTTGCTGAAATTGATTAACTGCATTATTTATACGTCTGTTAATTGGTTAGCAAAAATATTACCGTAATTATTCGAATATTCGAATCGCCCCGCTTTGAATATACGCCCTTCCAATAAACACACTTAGGCGTTTATTTTTCCTCGAATAAACGCCCACCCCTTAAATGACTGTAAACAAATCTAAATGGCTACCTCATTCTCAACACATTCTATTAATGGTCAACTCGAGTAGAATTACTTCTTTTCTAACCTGGTTGGGGTCAAGCCTTTATGATCACGCAATAACACATTTATCCATTTTTTACCAAAACAATGAACGCCTCCCTCCAATAAACTCCCCTCAAAAACCCTTATCAACAATATACGCCCGGGGCGTTTATACGAAATTGAAAGTTGATAACATATTTATATATTCAAAATTTTCAATTTGAGTGTGGAATTTAATTTTATTCATTTTGCTTAGCACAGACATAATTTGGCATTACTTTCTATGTCTATTGTTTAAAGATTATGTTGCGGCATAAATGTCGTGCTGTAGCCTACAGTGGATCAAAAACATAACTCATGGCGGGGAAAAGAGCTATTACCGCACTTTATGACATGCTTCAACGTGATCTAAGGTACTTAAGGGAATGTTTAGTAACAATCATACTTACATAAGTAGATTGTCCATGATTGTCGACTGTTTTTTCAAGAATACAAGTGATATAGCTTTTACATAATTAGTGATTGTAGCAAAGTGTTTTAGTTGTAGGAAAAATTAGGAAAGAATTATTTATGTTGGGTATAGGCTTATTTTATTGTATACCACATCATTATTTTTATGATAATAGGCCTATCATATCATTTGTGTGCAAATTTTATCTTATACGTTGTCATGTTTTTTAATGTGTGTCTGTGTGTTGAATAGTCTTACTATCGTTTCAATCAAGAAACATGCAGAAATACCGTTTTTAAATGCAAATGAAATAAGTACAGTAGTACCTTCTTTAGGCTAACGAAATTTATTGAGACACAAGCTTCCGCTAGCTTGCGTTAGCTTCAACAGGTGAATTTTTAAATATATTCTTTATGTAGATTGCAATTACAGTATCACAAAGAATGGCCTAATGTGTAATAGATGTTAATGGTAATGGATAGGGACTTTTACACCTCTTTCTCTTCCCAAACACATGCTTATATTCTCAATATTTATTTTTGAATTTATACTTTTGAACTAAAATACATAAATGAAAACATTATTGTTAATAACAGATTTAAATATCGTTATGCCTATTTAGTAACTGTACAATTTTTGCAATGTTGCTATGTAGGCCTACGGACAGTAACTATTGTTACAGAAAATGTATACCTTCCTACGTTGGCATCGACAATTAGCTAGGCCTGTTATACTTTAATTGAGAACATATAGGCTATGATATGTTTTAGTCTACAGCCTCTGCCACTCCTGTCGCCCTTTGTGTGTTCATGATAGCTTTGCTTTGGCTGGTATTACCATATTGAATTGCAAAAAAATAATCAGGTATCCACAGTGTGGGTAACAGGTGGAACAGCAGTGGTGGCGCCAGGTCCTGCCCGACGGAGGGCCTAAAGGCCCCGACGGGGGGGGGGGTGCTAGTGGAACGAATCGAGTCTCACTTGGCTGGGCGAAGCCCCCAGGAAGCCACGGATATTTGATGAATTATGGCGAATTTTTATTACTTATTTGATAGACATCGAGTTACTATAATATTACTATAATATGACTTCATGTAGGCTATGCTTTCTAATGTTGAAATCAGCTTCCAAAACCAAAACATTTTGAATAAAGCAAGAAACAAAGAGTATGCAATGTAACCATCTAATTTATTTTCAAATTCTCATTCTTGAAAGTGAAACTCTATATTTTGGAAAATTTGCATGAAATCTGTCAACCACGCTGTCATGGTCGAGGTTGCTTCACCTATCACGATGTATTCCAACCATCATGAGACTATCTAAATTATCATTTGTCATAACAGAACGCAAATTATTTTTAATTAGTCTCATTAAATTATTATTATTATTATTATTATTATTATTATTATCATTATTATTGTTATTGTTGTTGTTGTTTTTGTGATGAAAAGTTAACACAAACAATGGTGGCTAAACGAATATTACATGTAAATATTTTTTTTAATTTGTTTGTTCCCCGACAAAATGTATCGTCTTCCTCAACGGGGGCTATGCTTCCCCGACGGGGGGGGGAGCTATAGCCCCCTCTGGCGCAACCACTGTGGAACAGGTATTACTTTTGTAGATTTATGAAAAGCATCCTGGACTTTTCTGATCTTTGTAAAACAGATCTGTAAAAATACCAACAGTTTTTCACAGTAATGCTGGATTCCGATAATAGGAATGAAGGAAATGGAATTGTAGGTGGTATGAATAGATTGACTTATAGGCCTATAGATTTAGACACCTACTTTTGAACCGGCTCTATCTGTGAGGTTCACTGTGAATGTTACTCAATTCGACATTGTAAGTATTTTTTTTCACCAATGTTAACCCACAGAAGTTCAAAGACTTATTTCTAGTAGTGTCCTTCTGGTGGTGATTGGGCAGTAAAATCCGAAAGAGGCTATAGTATACTTGCAATTCAGCCCTCCGTCTGAAACGCAAGGAGTGCAGAGGATGGAATTGAACTTGTGGGTGCCAAAACGTTAACAATGGTTCTCCGTCGGTTCAGCGCACGTTGGGATGTTTATTAAACATTACTTTAGCTATATTTATTACTCTATTATATAGCCAAGATAAACTACCGTACCTATATGTTTGGGCTTGGTTTTTTTTTTTTTTTTTCTTTTTTTTTTTTTTTAATGTGATGTGTATTTTTATTGTTTTGTCTTGTTTTATATCATAAAGTTGAAAAGTAAAGAATGTATTCATCGCGTTCGTTATGTATCTTAGGTAACGAAATTGACGCCGTACAAATTTGGCTACTACGCACTGATTGGTCAGAATAATTTCTAATCTAATTGGAAAATATAAACTTAGTCCTGCTCGTGATATATTGCTCCATTGCATTACTGCGTCGTGCTTTAGTGGTGACGTTGAATTATAAAATGACTATATCATAATAGTTACTGTGGATCGTTACCCCGTCTATTTTAAATTACCATATATTTAAAGTATGTCTTATAAAACTAAACTATAAAGATTTCAAAACAGAGCTGCTGAATTAGTTTTTCCGCAGGACACTCCAAATAAAACTGCATGATAGTTCTCATTAGATTTCAATTGCCGAAAGGCAAGATTACCACGTTTTCAACTTTATACTACATTTTCCAAAAGTAGCCTATGAAATGCATTTTTCTCTTTTGAATGGAGCAATTATGTGTAATACACTTCTAAGAAATTTGCAAGTGCACCAAATTTCAAAGATTCTGTAAATCTTGTTTATACAGTAACTTGATGTTTAACATTTTGTCTTTCAAACACGTTTTTATGAGTTAAAGTTTTGTCAAGGACAGGATGTTTTCTGACGGTGAGAACACTCAGTACGCCAGAAAATGTTGTGAATGTTTTGAGAAAAGAATTACTTTAAAAATAACATATTCGCTATTGGTAATTATTGCCCATGTGTCTAATTGATTACCTGTATAGCCTACATAGGCGCGTTATAAATATTTATTATTATTATTATTATTATTATTATTATTATTATTATTACTATTATTATTATTATTATTACTATTATTATTATTACTATTATTATTAGGCCTATATCATTGTGGATTTTTTTTGTTGATGTAATTGATATTTATTTCCATAGATGGAGTACAGTGATAAATGCCGTCCGTTTACTAAAGTGCTTCATTGCTTACTTGTATTGCAGTTATTCTTCAGTTTTCACCTTGTGTTAACGTGCCGAGGTAAGTGTGGTCTGTAGCAGCTGTAGCGATAGGACACCAGTACTTTTAATAACTTTAAAGTCGGGCACTCACTGAGTTGTACGAAGATAGTACTGTCGGTGGCAGTCTGAATTTATCGTCATTATAAACGATCCGTTGCGCGCGTCGTGGCGTAAAGTACCAAGAACTGGTGTAGATTACTAATTGAAGTATCCAATAGAATCACGTCGGCCGACGACCGTTGGGCACCGTGATGCCCAGCTTAACGCAATGCAACAAGGCGTGTGCTACAGACGGCGTCGTGTCGTCAAGAGAGCGAGCAAAGATAGGCTAGATTCGCCGACTGACGGTCGTACGACCCTCATCTGACTCAGTGTGCGCCCTACCTCAATAATTTTTACGAGTTTTAGAGGTACAGTTAAAAGGCCTAATCCTTACGGACTTTATTAATTGCTTTAATTTCATAATCTCAATTGAGCTCTAATGTGTTCACCTTCAAATTCTGTAACATTTCAAAAAAAAAATGTCTGATTGATTTTAATATCACTAATTAAACTTGTTCTATTGACTAGGTATATGTGATTGACGAAATGCAAGCGTATGGATATTTATGTTGCAATACACAGTAATTGACCCTATCAGAATAATAACACTCATTATTTTAAACATTTTACGTAACAAAGGTTTGCTGGAATTACGAGAAGGAATGTAAAATGATATAGGCCTATATATATATATATATATATATATATATATATATACATCTAGATGTGTATATAAAATATATATATATATGTATGTATGTATATATATAGGCCTATATATATTTATTTATTTATGTATTTATTTATTTATTTATTTACTTATATTTATATTTATATTTCTTTGTTTAGTTATTATTAATACGTGTCCTGATGTCCAGGAGGTAACGTCAAAAAGTCCGCATGGTGACTGTCCGGGTTTTCGATTTCCGTGTCAGAATTCTAGCCAGTGCGTGCCGGGGAATTTCATTTGCAACGGTATTAGTGACTGTGATAACGGCTCAGATGAACTACCGGAGGAATGTGGTAATTATGCTACTTACAGTATCTTTTAAGTAATTATGATCTATATGCAGATGCATTATCCAACTACCCTGGGGTTTGTAGTAGGCTTAAATCCATGGAGGGTAAATATTTTTTTAATTCTTTACATTACAAGGGGTTTTTCTTTGCAAGTGAACTGCGTATTAATCTGTTGTGATGCTGTCGAGCAAAACTAATAAGTTTTTTGTAGTACGTTCCTTTCCAGATTGTATTTGTTTTATACTAACTCAAGATACACTAATGCCATGAACTTCCGCGAAAACGTTTTTTTTTTTTTTTTTTTTTTTTTTTTTTTTTTTTTTGGTTTTTTTTAATCCAGGAGAACACATTGTTACTGAGTGTAACTAACATGTAAACATTTTCTGGTGAAAGCAAAAAATCTAGATATTTCATTTTAATTTTTGTTGTAACGGTTCTTCAATTTCAAATTTAACAAACATCAACTTGAAATCTAAATGCATTTACTTGTCTAAACATTTTTCTTTACTTTTCAAAAAAAACACACAAAAATATGTTTTGTCCTCTAAATATGTGTGTTAATGCCACTTTTCCAAATCCCACCAAAACCCAAATGTTATACCTACCCCAATAACAGCAGAATAAACTGACTTTTTATAGTTATAAGTAAATCACCTTTTTATATATCTTTAGGCTGTCCCATAACATAAAACAACACTGTAAATGGTGTAACCATGCAAAAGGGTTTTAAGGTTATTTAAACATTGTAGAGTGTCCAACAATGTCGTTAAAAAATCGCTATTAGTCTTCGTAAATGTCTTTGGTTGGTGGAATCAGTCAGACATGGAGGCAACATAGTATGCTTTCTTTATTAGGAGAACGCCATACTCTTTGTCTGGTTTGGGAATAAATAAATTTATCAAGCAAAACTTCTAGAGTGTTCACGCGTTTAGTAACACATACAGTATTCAGTATAACTTTGTCAAAGTCGTTTCATAAATGATTTAGGTAAGCATCAGCGTTTTCAAAATGGATTCGGACGGTGTACAAGCATATCCTATTGCTTGGTTTAGTGGCTGTCATTCTTTATACCAACAATTAGGACACTCTTTTCTTCTTTAGAGATTCATCAGTTTGATAAGTGATGATTTGATTCTGGTTTTTAGCATTAACATGATATAATACTAACGCAGTGTGTACCTTTTAGTATGACGTCCAAACACTCAGGTGCGTTCGAAATATTCCTATAATTTCCACTTCCAAGATTCAGGGACTAGACTTATTATTTATTTTATGTATATGTGTACTGCTAATTACCTACCTTTGTTTCTCCGATAAACAATGATACACACGTATAATAAATAATATTTATTTATTTTATGACATGTTACAACTATAAATGAATATGTAATTCAAACGACTTTGGGCGGCTAAATGCTTTGGCGCGACAAGAAAAAAAAATCACTTAAATTTTACACGGTTTATTACCAGTTGTAATTGTTAAGACCCGCAATCAAATATTTTTTATACAAATCCTTGTTGTTCTATGTAAAACTTAATTATTACGTGACGCATTTACATTCACGATACGTTTTATATGAAGTTCATAAGCTAAGCAAACGAGTGGTGCTCGGGTAGTAAAAGCGCTTAGAAGCCTTCATATCGATGACGCCATGGTATACGATAATCGACCATCCACTTTGTACGCAATACTGAGATCTTTTTACAAATTGAATAACGTTGGTAACGTTTTAAGGGCTTAGCCATTCATCCGCTTCATAATGCTTACATTGCGCGGCATGTGTTTTGACCCTTCCACCGTGGTGACGGCACGCATAGAGCTAAAGAAATATGTCATTATTGTATTATATCTTAACGTTTTGTGTGAATTTGGAGAAAGTTCTTATACGGTACACGGTTTCTCTATCTTACAGCCATATTTTAATACCGGGGAGGGATTTTTGCTATCTTACTACAATAAAATAATTCTTTGGGGACTTTTTTGGCTATCTTATGGTCATTATTTTTGTAAGGAAGGTGAAGGAATTATTGTTGATGCAAATTACTTTCAGAATAATTAACTTTTATGAAATGTTATAATATGTAATTTTAATTTTCATAAATTGCTGTACTTAAATTTATAAAATTCCATTGCTGTAACGGATTTTCTGAAACTGTTTAATAATACTTGTCCTTCAACAAAATAACAAATTAAATCGCTAAACATTGTATTTTTATCCAATTCCGATCAGAATCCAGATGAAGGTCGAGGAGTCAATGTATGCAAATAGCATTTGTTTATGCTCATTTGCATATAAAACCAGGTGGTCATAGTACTCATTTTATTTAAAATGTATTGAACGTATCGGAGTTAGGTTTAAGTTTAGTTTGTGTAATTTATGCCTGGTGTTGTAAGATTTATTGACATTAAATTTTCCTCCTAATAACATAACAAGGTGTATTGAGATATTTTACTTTAGTATGCATATAATATAGACATAACATTGGAAGGTAAAATAAATGTGTGTAGCAATGGATTATTTAGTGTTTTGTGGCCTTCTTGAGCAAACCAATGTAAAAGTGTATTAAGAGGACCAATGTATTTTAACATCGTCCCAGCATAATGCTGTGTTCTCCAAGACCAATTTCTCCAAACACTGAGCAAACAATGGACGGGACCCATGGGCTCATCCCTTTTACTCTCCAACTGATTATTTTACTAGTAAAACCTGTTATTCTATAAGATGTTTCACTGATAAATTGTAGTACGTGACCTAGCTTTTTACCATAAGGTCCATTACATATTACAGGTTAAAGATAGTAGCCTTCCTCACCTATCTCGTAATCCGGTCGAAGAAAGTGCAGTGAAAACCACTACCGGATTCTCTATAGATAAGCTACTTGGGCACTCTTTTTAGTTTAGGAGGTTATGAGAGATGAGAAATTAATTCAATAATGTAGTCGACCAAACCTTACAAATCATGATAAAAGCGATATAAAAAACATATTTTATTCCCTTAATGTGAAGGTTCCGGCTATAGATACAATGTTGGTATAAATTGTGCGAACTTATAGTTTATAAAATTTCTTGTAATTTAAAGATATTGCTCATAAAAGAAACTAATTTCTTTTCTAGCTACGAACAATCCCCTGTATACCAACATTTGGACCCATATCTACGGCTCGGAAAGAAGAGGAGGAGATGGTGATTCTTCTGACGAAGATTTCAACCCAGATAATGTCTGCGGTAAGACATGTTCTATTTTTTTTATTGAGTTTGTCTGGCAAAACTGTATAAGAGTGCCTACAGGGACCACTTCAATTTCACTCTTTTTCCGAGTGAAAATTCACTCTTAAATGAGTGAATATTATTCTTAAAATAGCGTAAAAATTACTAAAATTCACTCTGAATAGAGTGACATCTCACTCTTTCTATTTCACTCCATGAGTAGTGGTCCCTGTAGGCACTCTTTCACTCTTTTTCACTCTTTTGCATTTAGAGTGTAGGCCTATTCCTCAGCATGTCTTTTAAATGCGTTTCTAAACGTGGCATTCCCGAGTTCTTCAGCGTAGGGTGTCATTACCAGCCTAGTCTTTCTTCATAATTCAGATTAGCATGTGATGGGATTTTCTTTTTTGCAAGACAAGAGTTGCAACAACTGTCGTTGTACCACAGAAAACCCGACATCTTTCTCGTCAACATCTTCCTCCGTAAGGCATTACTTATATATTTCATCAGATTTTGCTGTTTTCATAGAGGTCGGTTCGGCCAGCTTGGCCTGTGTACATCTGATTTGTGGCTAAGTGTCGCTCTCTTCAATGTGGGTCATCGCAAGTTCTATATGAGAAGAGCCAATATAATTTTGTGCTTGATTTCATTGTTGATATTCAGCATACTTACTCTTGGCGAGTTGAGTGACCGAACTGTTAAGACAGGGGCTCCCCAACCTATCTACAGCCATAATATCGGCGCTGATTCCAACGCACACTCGCATATGGTTCTGGTGGCGGAACATCAAGTCTTCTCGGATAAGGACTGTAGACTCAGTGTACACAATTGAGTCATGTGCACTTTCAAAAACCCAGAAGGGGGTTACCCCGGTGTAGTGGTCCATACAGCCCTTCTTACCCTGCGGTTATGGACTATTTAGGCCTAGTTCCTTTGCATGATGTGCCTACGTACTTTCATTTCATTTGCATTTCATTTATTTTTCTCAAAAAATTTAAGCGAAAGACAAGAACCAACAGACGCAATCAGAAAAAAACAAGAGAGTGGTAAAACAAAAAGCGTACTCAATCAACTATCGAGTGGTTTCCCCATTACATATAAAATATAACAAATATCATCAGTGAAAATAAAAATTAAATCATTTTTCAAAAATTCAAATAGTTAATAGGCCTATTTAAAACTCCGTAAAACATACAGGAATTAAAAAGGAGTCAAAAAGAGGTCAGAAAGGAGTCAGATGAAACTAACATGCAAAATGAAGCCTGAGATCGGCGGAATGTATTGAAATTATACAAAATATCGTTCTTGAGGTCGCTTGGTACTCTGTCCCATGCGCGGGGAAAATGGTTGAAACAGAATATTTAAAAGCATTAGTTCTGGAGTATTGGTGGCCAAAAACAAGATCATTGGGGTGCCGACAGTTAACATTAGATTTAATAAAACATTAGATTAATAAAATTAGAAATATCAATTGAATATTTTCCCCAAAGACAGCTGGCAATAAATGAAATACATAAATAACAAAATTGATCGTCGACAGGAATAAGCCCCAAATATTTACAACGCTGCGCATAGGACAGACTGCCAGATTTAACTCTAAACGGAACATTAACATTAACAGGAAAACAGACTTTTGACATACGTTTCTGAATGTGACCCCAGCTGAAAGGTAACCAAGAAGGAACCCCATACTCAATAATAGGATGAACAAGAGCATTGTTAAGTCTAGGATTCCTGGAGCCAACAATCCTCCTGATAAAACCAAGAAGGCGGGAAGCCTTGTTTGAAACATTATCAACATGAGTATTCCAAGGTAAATCATTAGAAAAAGTAACACCATGATATTTCACAGAGTTGACGTTCGAAAATTTTTGACATATTAGTAGACTCTAAAATCTATTAAATAAGTCTTTGAAACCTCTAAATTGTCAAAATTTTCGGGGGCTTCGCCCCCTGGAACACTTTCGTGACGTTCTCATCGAAGCCCGATCACGCCCACTTTCCATTCGTCGGGGAAATCTGACCTCTCATCGGGGGTATCAGCCCCCCGTCGGGAACATCGGCCCCCTCCCCCGTCGGGCAAATCCTGGCGCCACCCCTTGATTGAAGATGCAGCATTAGCCAAATCTAAAACGTAAATGTTAAACAGAACGTAACCCAGTACCGAACCCTGAAGAACTTCAAATTGGACCGCGCAGGGTGCGGACAGGGCCCCACGGAAACACACATACTGTTGACGATTCAAGAGAAATTATGTTGACCGCTCTATCACAGGACCACAGGCCCCATAGCGATGAAGCTTATTTAGTAAGATATTATGACAAACCCTGTCAAAAACCTTACCAAAGTCTAAAAATTGAACATCAATGAGGGGAGGGCACAGAACATCAAAAGTAGAACACCAATCATGATAAACAGAAACAAGTGCAGTTTGAAAGGATCTACCGGCAGTAAACCCATGTTTGGAAGAAGACAATAAACCACAATGCCTAAAATGATCAACAAGCTGTTTACAAACGATCCTTTCTAAAAGTTTACCGATAACAGAACATAGAGAAATTGGACGATAATTATCAATTACACTGATGTCCCCAGACTTATGGATAGGAACCACATTGTCCTTCTTCCAGTCGGTGGGAACGACACCAGTTTGAAGTGATAGATTGAAAAGTCTAGCAAGAGGCTCACAAATATATTTCCGAACTAGCTGTACCATGGTAGAGATGATACGGTCAGGACCGGGAGCCTTACTTTGCTTCAAGCTATTAATGAGACCCAGAACATCACTTGCACTGGTTCGTATAGTTACCAACGGTTGAAGGCCAATGTTTGAATGATTGTACGTACGTTGAATGATTTCGTCGAAAAGATCATGTTTTTGTAAGTTGCTGGTATCTATTTTAACAGTTTTAAACTTGCTATTGTATATATTTAATGTTCTTACAAATTATATAAACATAATGCATTTGGTGTTTCCCCCACTGTTTACCTATCTTGGTTTGTTTTATGCCAAAATGATAGCAGTTTTATCATTATTGCAAGTTTTGTTGATAAATTTCATGTCATTTCTTGGTTTAACCTTAGAAAATGGGACGTACCCGCCAAACTGTACCTGTTACTTAAAGTGCATATCGCGTCATGGCGGCAATGCAGACGACGGAGAATGTGAATCTGAGGTGTTCTGTTATACCGAAAATACGACCGGGTTTACAACTGTTCCAAGGGATCTACCTACTAACACTGTACTTCTGTAAGTAAATACCATCACACGTACATTCACCTGATGTAATAGGATAACGTAAGGTCTTAGATAGATCTTAGATGAATAAATAAACACTCACTATAAAAAAACATCAGTTAATGTAATGCATTTTCACTTATCGTCAATATGCGTTAGTGTAATTGTCCGTGATTGACATACGTACACGAAGAATTGAATTCAGAGCAGCGCTTATATCCAACTTATATCCAAACACTTTCATCAGTTGCTAACGATGTGTACCCTTTGGAGTCGACGTCTCATATGGCGTCAAGCCTAAGGCAAAATAATACTCTCATGAAATCTTGTATACACATTAACAACTGTTCAATAAAATACTAAGAAGCATATACAATTTATATTTCATTATGGTATTCCCGCACATGTACAAAACAGTCTAGTTATGAATTAGGCTACGTGTTCCATCATCTTAGTTAGATGTTTGCATCCTTAACGACTAGAGATAGCACGAGAGACTTCCACATCAGGAACACAATTAGTCTTACTATTTGCAGTACAACGTACAGTATTTAGTTCCTTTGAGTTTCGGATGATCACTTTTTAAACAATCATGCCAATGAAGATGATATTTGTGGGGTAACGTACTATCGCACAAACACAGTGTTCCTCTTGGTGATTTTCAGTTATGTGCAATTTATTTGTCCCTCCTCCTTTAGATGCAAAATGTTATATATATATTATATATATTATATATATATCATAATATATATGTTTTCTAATTGAACGTGTTTGATGTAAAACACTTTTTTCGAGAGTCTAAACACTGAAATCAAAATTGTTTCAAATTGAAGAAATTTGTGCGTAATAAAAACAAAGAAGCGGCGAATTTTATTACGTTAAAGATTAATAAGTTTGGAAATATACAATTTTTAATAGTTTTAACATAAATTACAAAAACAATAAAGAAAAAAATAAATAAAAAGAAATACACGAATAGTGGGAAGGGGCGGGGCGAATGATACACTCATTTGCTATAAGAGTATCATAATAATTTTTAAATTTTTTTTAAACCTTTATTATTATTATTATATCGTTGATGATTATATTTGTAATTTTCGCCTGTAAGTGGGAACAAAGTGTTCCTGTTAGACGATTGTTTTAAATAAAAATTTAAAAAATAAACAACTAAGAGGTATACGAATAGTGGGAATAGAGGTGGGGTGGTTTGAAGTCCATATTTAAGCTTCCTGGATAATTAATTGACTCAAAGGTATTTTTTGTAATGAGACCTCACTAATAATTTCTTAATATAATTTAAGTGAACAATAGTATTTACTTTAATTTGGACGTTTTACAATATTGTACCACTGAACCGTTGTAGACCTGTTTTCTTTTTTGAATATATATAATTCGCTAAATTAATTATGACCGCAATAGGATATCTGTAAACAAATTGAAGAATACTAATAAACGGACCGATAGGCCTATATACATAGGTCCCTAACTAGATATTTTTTTAAATATAAACGAAAATGTCTTAAATATATTAATTATATTTATTATTGTATTGTAAGTAGCTTGATCACATTTGTTATCTCCGTTCATTATATACTACATTGTATCCGACTGCTAATTGGTTAATTGTGAGACCTTTGCTAATTATGTATGCATTAGCTCTTTTCTATTTTGTTTTCCATTTTTTACTTCACACACCTGATGAAGCTGGCATTGACTGCCAGTGAAAGCTTGTGTTGAATAAATTACATCAATGTTAGTCTCAGAGTGCTGCCTTTTATAATCTGTGTATATTGTTTAGACTAACACGGCTTCATTACAACTTTTATCATATATTAATTAGTTACTACTACTTACTTGTGAACTAGGCCTACGTGTGTTATGTCCACATAAATTACAAATATGTTTATCTTTTAACAGAGACCTGTCTGACAATTATATCAGTGTTGTGAGGAAAGGAGATCTGGATCATCTGCCTTATCTTCGAACACTGTAAGTATACATGCATTAGTCTATTGATCTACTTGTCTACATCAAAGTTTCTAAAAATGGTTATACAATAAATAACGTTGGTGTAAACAAACAATGAGTAAACATGTTGAAAAATAAGGCCAAATCAGTACATACAACAAATGTATGGAAAGAATAATGTAAGAAAGTTTCCTTATAAATTGTAATTATTAAATTATTGTTATTGTATTTAATATTATATTGTTATTATATTAAAGAGACTAAATACAAGAAAACAGTGTAGTTGAATAGCTAGATCTCGGTTGAGAATCATAATTGATAATCAAAAGATATAACGTAAGTCAATAAACATCAATCTAATGTTAATATATTTATTTTTCGTATTAATGCATATTACAAATTATGAAAGTTTTAATTAAACCAAATGTGTGTGTTCATTTTTGCTAATGTATTATTGTAATATATTCAATTTAATGTTATTAATTAATATCAACTTTGTGATGTTTGTATAACAGTACTTTGTATTTGAATAACAGGTATTTCTCACGAAACCGAAATCTCCGGTTTGAATCGGATGCATTAACGAACAACTTAACGATCTCTGAATTGTAAGTAAGCCAACAAAATTACACATATTGCGAAATATGTCAGATTCAATGTTTTGTTTTTTTATTTTTATTTTCTACTTATTAATCACTTCAGGTTCAAGTTCGATTTATTGTAAAATGCGAAAAAAATTAAATTTCCATTCACGGTTCAAATACTAAAAATATAATATTACACATCAAGATCGATATGCCTATAAATGATTTAAAGTGATTAAGACACATTGGTTTGTTGAGAAATACAATGACAAAAATTTTATGAATAAGTTGTGTCACGGATGGCTTAAGAGGGCAGTATCTGTGATTGTAATTTTTAAGATTAGGCCTATTCGCAATTGGAAAGCACTTTTTGAGACCCAAGAGATTATTCCTTTGTGAAACAGCTGAGCGTTTGGTCGACAGGAAATGTTCCTTCCTTGTGCTGAAGATCCCGGTTAAATTCGTCAGAATTTAATTGGAGTCGATCGCTTTCCTGGAATACTTTTAACCCTCGCATGATAAGACTTAGGCGAGGCAGGAGACATACAGTGTTGGTACTGGCGCCGTGTTATGACTGCCGCGGGTCGCAAGGGGCCCAGCCGCAATTTCTAATTCCAAATTTGGAATGATGAAAATCAAAAAAAAAAAAAAAATAGGCAGAAATGTTCAACTCGGGATGATAAAGAAATTCCGTATGCTGGTGGAAACCTTGACCTGTCTTTATAAAAGCAAATGTTGTGACAAACTTATTCATTGTGGTAAATGTAGATGATTTTCACCTGGTTGAGGGTTGATATTCACTTGCCTACAGCAGAAAAACATTAACTGGTCAAAAGGTAACATAAAAGCATTATTCACTATTAAAGAGTCAGCGAGTAGCCTATGACATGTAAGTTTGTTTAATATATTAGAATGACTCCACAGAACATTATTATTATTGTCTTTGTATCCCGTTTTTTCTAAGTATGTAGCCATTTTGATCCTAATGATATATTTGACGCGTGTGACGTCATTTCTACGTGATAACGTCATGTATACATCATATCGTATTTTAAACAAGTGAATTTGATTTTATGGATACCACACTTCTATCACCTTTAACAGATTTATGATATCTAAACCCAAACGACCTGGAGCCTCGAAATTGTTGTTTTGATAATAATTTCCATTTTGAATTTATGCTAATACTAACTGTCTCGGTGCTGCATTGTGGTAAAATTTAGATATAATATACCGTAACATTGTATCTGTTGTAATTATTTTTAGGTTCAATAGATTGGGCTGAAAATGACTTGAAAAATGCGATTAGAATGCAAAATTACAGCATCAAAACTAAATTCGAACTACATTATAATAGGTACATTAGGTCATTAAAAAAAAAATCTTTGATTTGTGGAGTTTTTAATGCAAAGATCTCAACGTTAATAAATCTACCTTGAGTTGTGTTATTGATTTTAACACATTATATTGATTACTCTTTTGCTACTGTCCTTTTTTTTTATTATTATTTATTAAGTTTCTTCCATGAGGGTCGCTGTAACAGCGAGGCTGACTCAAAGTGGCCCTCTAACAAATGCAAAACAAACACAGTAACACGAGTAAAATACAAAAAGCACAATAAAACAAATAGATTCTTGATAAAATATTAAAACTATTATTTTTTTTAAAAAAAGCAATACCATATAAATGTTGTTCTCAAAATCAATAACATTCTAAAAATTTCAAATGCGATCATTAGCTAGATTTAAGCGCATTTTTTAGTTTATCTTTAATAGATTAAAACGTATCGTTTATTATTTGTAAAGAATCTATAATGCAATTATTAATTATTTAAAATCATTGTTCATATAATAATGTATTTTGTAATTAATAATGTAAATGATTTATACACACAGAAACACCTGTCGCCGTAATAATTATTCATCAAAGCTATTAGTATCCTGTTCTAAATACTTACAATCTAATAGGTTATACGATCGTAATTTTTAATGTAACCACAAATTAAAATGGCACGTGACATGAGATATAGTATTATCATCTGTGTACTCTGAATGACCGTTGACAAAAACAATGTCTTCAAAATATACGTAAAATATATAATGGTTATATACTTAAAATATATAATGGTTTATAATGTGTAGATGCCTTCAATAACAAACTGTGTAAAACTGTATGAATAGTTTATCTATAACCACGAGGATATGTCCGTCAACTTATGTTCTTCAAATGTTTCCCTCCCCTTTAGGAACCTTGTTGGTTGCCAGATGGGTACAATACCCGATGGACTTTTTAGTGGAATGAGTCATCTCATGACTCTGTAAGTATCTGTATTATTTATTATCTATTATAATTATATAATTTTTATTGATAAAATGTGAGGCCTCACTACAAAATGAGTCTCATGATTAGAATATCAAAAATTGAGTTTATACTATATTTGGGTAGATCACATTATAAGCTTTAATTTGGTCTTTGAATGGCTTCACTAGGATATGTAGATCCAGAGATGTGAACATTTAAATATTATGTGTAAGAGAACCACATTTTGAGAAAATCGACCTCCAAGATAAACTAACCTGTACAAATAATAGGATTAGAATTACAGAATATGCGCAGAGAACACTGTTTTAGTAAGAAAATTCACTTAAAAAGTACACAATCATTAAATATAAATATCAAGTTATCAAAAAACATTAAAATCAAAATTGTGTAAAAATTTTGACTTTGTTTATGATTATCTCAAAATGACTTTACCAACAATGCATCTCATTTCGTGGTGAGACCTCACAAATGGCTTTTAACATAACTCATGTCAACTGAACCATCTGAGTTACTGACCAGGATAACAGGCCTACTCTGAAATGCTTTGAGATGGCTACTGTACATGGAAGATTAGAAAGTACTATAAATGCCACAACATTTTTACCTGATTCCTCCATCCTTCTGGTGTGCTCTACTTCTCACAGCAATTACTAAATAATTTACTCAAATTCTTGATCTTCACCAAGCTTCAGTGCACTAAAAATTGATTTGATAAAAATAGAAGATACTTATTTCAAACATCACAATTTATTTTAATTTAGCTCAACAAGTACCTATTGTTGCCATTATATAAAAAGATTTCATTCTTGACTGCAAGTGCAGAGTCCAAACAGGGAACTTAGAAATATGTCGTGTACAGAAAGCATTTAATATACAAAAGAAAATGCAAGTGAATTCTAACTGCATGTTAGTAATATAGAGGGCACTTTATGAATGAAGTGCTGGAATAGCCTGGATGGTCTGTGAATACCAGTATAGTCACTGTATAACCACTGCTATTTTGGTGTTTAAAATGTGAAATTTATTAAGTTTGTAGATCCTACTCCATAACTGTATAATAATAACTGATAAAAAACAAAGGTTTTTGGTGATTACCAAGCATATTTTAGTCTATAGATTTGTTTTTAAAAACATTGCAAAGAAAAATAAATGACGGTAAATTTGACTTGTAATCTGGTGTACACTTGAAGTATTAAATAACATCAGAATGATTAGCTTATGAATTATTCAATTACAGTAATGTATAGTATAGTTTGACTTGTAGCGGGACAAGTTCTCAATTATGGATCCTTCAAAACAAGTTTTCTATAAAATCTTGGCAGTACAGTAAACATAAAAAATTTGGAGACTACCTACCTATGATTCAACACATTTACAAAATCAATCACCGCAAACCAACTCTGACTCAGTTGTGCCTCCTCAACGTTGGATGAATTATCATCGCACCTTGGTTAACTTGGTTAAATGTGACTAGACTGTACATTATGTTTTCCTAAAAGTCAAGTAAATAAATCCAAAACAACCATCAATGGAGTAGGACAGTGAATAGTCATTTACTAAAAAAATCCCAAACTTGCTACCAGAAAATTTTAAAAGAGTATTACAATAGAAATGAAAATTCAAATTCTGAATAGGTTCCAACAAAAATTTCTATTGGCTTTGTAGTTGGAAGTGTAAAATTGTATTAGAGATTTTGTTCCCTCTAGTATGTTTCTATTGGCTTTGCAGTTTATATAAAAAAAATATTACAAATATATTGATTTAGAGTCTTTGTTCCCTTATCCATGTTATTACAGTAGTTGAATGTTTGTTGGTACCCTAATTTTGTCAACATGCCTGTAATTAATAGAAATTGTATTACTTACTATTCAATATTTCCAAGGAAAAGCATATTGGATTCTCAGTTTGTAGCTGATTTTTAGAATGTACAGTACAGATGTACACACTTATTGTATTCATTCAAATAAATGCCCCAATTGAATAAACGTCCCTTCAAATAAACGCCCAGTTAGAGCCTCATTTGATAATTTAGGGTGTCTATTTTTTCCTCAAATAAATGCCTCCTTCTAGTGTACCTATAATATTTATGTGTAAATTGAATGATCTAAATTTAGTTATATTCTCAGGTGACTTTCTTACTGTTGAAATAATAATTTTTAAAAATAATTATTGTAAAATGTTTTTCTGTATGAAGTAAATTAGCATACATTAACTGCTGCCTAGGACTCAGTAAGTATTGATAATAATCTGGGTAGGGTACTGTGGTTATTTATTTTACTTTTTTTTATCATGTAGTTTATTGTACAGCAACTATAATCAATAGAAAAAAGCTAATCTACAATGTCAAAGTTCATAACACTGGGATATTAATCCCTGTGCTAAATGAAAAGCTTTGCTTTGACAGAGTCACTTTGTTTACATTGCACAACAAATCTGCCAGCAAGTCTCCCTTTCTTAAAGAACTATGTCTTTTTTCCACTGTCCCAACACTGGCTTTTATGACTATGGAATTCATTGACCAAATTTATGAATACATGCTTCAGATGTTTCACTTCATGTATTCAGCTTGTGCTTACTTCAGTGTTCAATTGTGATCATTGTTATTCATTAGTTACTGACCTAGTAAAATAACACAATCACAATTTCTGTAGCAATTAATTGTGATATGAAAACTGTTTCGATGAGAAACTATATTGTTGAGGGCGTAAATTTTCTATCACCAATCGTAACGTAGAGGGCGTAAATCTGTCTCTTATACACATCTAGATGTGTATAAGAGACAGATTTCATTCTTGACTGCAAGTGCAGAGGTCATTCTTTTGGCATCCTGGTGCCTGACTTCAGTGTTTTACAAGTCGCTTATTCCGTCTATCTCTAAATTAACTTTCTCGTTGGTGGCGCTGTCCAGAATGAGAAAAATAATTTAAAAAAATAAGAGACTTGTGGCAAGTCTATTGCTTTAGGTGCAGTTTAAAACCCTCAGTGGTATTACCACACATGTTGGTAAATTTAACTAACATGAAATGTATAATATAAATATTTCTCAATATGATACCGAGCCAACAAAGGTGTGTTTGTTGTTTCTTCCAGTAATTTGAACCATAACGAAATATCTGATTTGAATCCGATGGCGTTTAATCATACACCAAATTTGGTGATCCTGTAAGTATTACAAACTGTAGAATGTTCACATCTAGTATTACTCCTGTCTCTTATACACATCTAGATGTGTATAAGAGACAGGTGTTGTCTTTTCTTCTGATTAAATCCATACCAATTCATTTTATCCAGTTTGTGATCCAAATAATTATTATATGACTAAATGATATACTGATTGATTAATTGGCTATTAACGAAGTTTGAGTTATAAACTAGAAAAAAACTTAGGCCTATTAGAATTTATGAATGAATAGCTAAAAATGAATATTGCTTTAGGTGCAGTTTAAAACCCTCAGTGGTATTACCACACATGTTGGTAAATTTAACTAACATGAAATGTATAATATAAATATTTCTCAATATGATACCGAGCCAACAAAGGTGTGTTTGTTGTTTCTTCCAGTAATTTGAACCATAACGAAATATCTGATTTGAATCCGATGGCGTTTAATCATACACCAAATTTGGTGATCCTGTAAGTATTACAAACTGTAGAATGTTCACATCTAGAGTTACTCCTCGCATTAACCCCTAATTCCATAATCGTATACAGCTTTATTATAGCAGTCTGTATGTTTAGGAAGATTCTAATTAAGAAATATATTCCCGTTAAAGATTGACCTACTTATATAGTCCTCGTCTAGGAAACGAGGCCTAGTGAATATTTTAAATGAATGGCAGTGCCGCATAAACCATCCGTCTTAATTGACGATGCAATTTCTGATCATGCTAGAGCAACCAACCATAGTATATAAGGAGGTAAGTCTACTCACCATACATACTTTCAGGCATTTATACTGTATTACATTCAATATAGGATGTTAAAACACATAACATGATGGCATGAAAAATTCGTACAGAAAGTGAAAAGCAAACCCTGCCGACATTTCGATAGTAGGCCTGAGTCAATTATGTAGTTAAAACTTTTTTGACGAGTAAAATAATTCTACACACCCTAATTCCTGAAAAATAATTCCTCGTATCGATATGACATTTTAAAAAGTAATTCTTAAAAGTCGTATAAATAGTTAAAAATATCCCCAATGTCGTCTTATATAATATATAATTTTATTTTTCTTTAGAAATATTCAATACAACAAACTGCAAGTATTATCACCGCCTTTGCTTGAGCCATTGACACAACTGAAGACATTGTACGTATTCTTAAAAGCTCACCACGTGTCCGATTTTTAGTTTATATGTAGTGTATGTTAGTCAACGTGTGTTTCGTAACATAGATACACAACATGATACCACCGAATGACAGTAATTAAATTTTATATGAGAATTTAACGAAAATACCAAAAAATTTTAAACCAATTTAAGATTTGTATACATTCTACAATTTTTCAGGCACGCAACAGTTCTAGCTGGTGGGTCTGAGATTACCTGGGCAAATAGTTGCTTATTGAACTTCTACAAAAGCTTAATACTTGCATTGATTTGGTTTCTAATTTAACCTGGTAGCTGAACAGCTACCTCTGTGTCATACTAGAGGGCAGCAGACTGCTATTAATTCTTGATTACTATCAGAATTAAGGTGTGATGACACATCCAGAAACGAATCGATTAATTACCCCGATTACATATATTGGAACAATCTTTTAATCACCACATTCCTATATTCAATGTTTAATCAGGATGTCCTTTCTGCGACTTCTTAACATTCGTGCTACTGTACCGATATCCGATAAAAGAAGAAGTATTAAGTAAACACCTAGTTGAATCAATCATAAAATTTGTCACATTTTCAAACGTCTGTTGACATAATGTACATAAAAACCAGTCGCGAAGTAGTGCGATCAAACACTAGTTTTATCAGTCTATTGAATAATTTCCATATGATTATTTTTGTCTTTGTAAAATTCGCAATAACGCACGTTGATTCACCGGACTTAATTACATGTGTGTGTTAATTTGAAAGTCTGCGATCCATCGAAACAATGCCCATAACTAGAGAGTGACCTATATCGGTGTTTACGTAGTTTAGATATAAAAATCCTCATCGATCATAATAGTAGCCAAATTCGAGAGTTGCAGTCCGATAGTATACTTATCCTATAATGATGGCGTCCTTTAATTCACTATTATATCCTTCTGTTAGAAAGTGACTAATTACATCGATGTTTTATTCATTTTTCTGTAGTCTCATTAAAGGCTACATAAGTACTTGAATAAATGTCACATCATTTACTCTCTTTTTCGATGTACAGTATTCAACTGGCAAATTTTGTTCACGACTAGCAAATTTTGTTCACGACTAGCAAACGTCAGATAATACAAATAATGATTTTTGTGAGTAGGATTGGTTTGGATTTCTTAGGTGTGAAACACACCGAGAATAACCCAGAAAGCCCGAAGACTTATTTCCTGTGGGTAGCAGTGTCGCCAGAACTTGCCCGACGGGGGTCCAATGTCTCCCGAAATGGACATAAAGGCGATGTGTGTTTGGTAGGGCGTCGCAGGCCTCTTTTGGAAGTTGTCCAGGTGTTTCCCCCGAAAACTATGACAAATTAGGGGTTTCTTAATCGATTTTAGAGCCTACTAACGGTTCCCGGTTCCCCCTGCCATTGAAGTCTGTTGGTGAATTTAGGCAGTACTTCGTGAGAAAATCCTGTTAATCCCTTTCGGAAGTGTGTACGAAGTTCTTGAGATGGCAACGTCTTTATTTTTCCTAGCCCTCTCCGACCAAATAACTTGATTTTATTATTTCCTTCAATAATACGGTAATGTACAATTCTGTCAAAAAAGATTGATTGGCTCTTCAATGAATTCACTTTAACATGGAAGTTTAGCCTCTTAAATAAGGGTCATCCAGGTGTGCCCTACAATAAGTCCAGGTGCACCGTCTCACCTAAGCAGTAAATATTAGGTACAGTAGATAGCACTTTGTAGACTACCAAACATTATAGGCTTACAACGCAATGGATTTGTTCATGTGTCTGACGTCATTAAGTGTTTATTTGTAGGGTGAAAGTGTTGCACTTCTGAAAACATCATGAGTGTTTCTGAATCGGATATACATTTCACACATGGTCGAACGCGTGTCATCGGCTTCTAGGATACTTATCCTATCTAGTCGTATGTATATCAATCAACAATAACATAACAACAAAGAAGGTGAGGAAGATTTGAAAGAATAATAGGCAGCTATTCGTCTCGTCGGTCCACAAAATCTTTATTCCCGCTCAACCAATACAAGAACAAAAACACTGAACTCAAGAGAGGAATAATGTTCGTTCGTTCGTTCATTCATTTATGCTGTCCAAATTATCTAATAGAAAAGTAGAAACAAAACACAGCATTGGGATGCGTTACCGTTACCGTTAACGCGGACATTGGAAATTGGCCTTTATACAGTAGAAGGTAATCGGCAAGGTCGATAGTGCATAAATAATAAATGTTTTCTGTTGGCACAGTAGGACCCGTTTATACATTCTTTGCTTTCTCTCTCTGTGATACGCGAAAAATATGTAATATACCAAATTCTTAGCGCCAGTGACAAAAATATAGTGTTAATGTATTTATTAATTATTTGTTTATTATCCTTACAGAGGTATGAGCTTTAATCAAATTTCCGAAATAAAGAATGGATTTTTCGAGAGCCAGACTCATCTACAAGATCTGTAAGTACTGTACTGTTTATGAACAGTCGTCCTCTTAATAATTAGTTAGAAACTAATAAAACATCACAAACATCTCCTACGACGAGTACGCAGTAGGCCTACTATAATATACTTGAGCCTAAATACCTTAATTTGTTACTTTGAATCATGGCCTTCCTTTCTTTATTCTAAGTAACGTTCGTTCCGTTGTTATTTATTGTTAACAAAATCATTAAACATTCGGTACACTATGTGTAAGTATGGTTTTTGAGGTGAAACCACTGGTTTGTTATTGATACTCGCCATGCAAAACGTCAAGAAATATGTTACTATTATTTATTATTATTATTATTATTATTATTATTTATTATTATTATTAATACGATAAATAATCGATCGACGATAAAGTATGTATGAATGGTTGAGGGCTAACTTGATGGTCAAACACTTTGCTCGACGCCTTTTAAGGCAGGCTCAGGTCGACACGGAACTCAACTCAACTCAACTCAACTCAACTTGTCGACATGAGCGCTCTGCGCAACTGAAAGGAACTGAACGCAACTGACCGCAACTGAAAGGAACTGAAAGGAACTGACAGTCGCGCATATTTGTCGACATGAGTCAAGTTGAGTTGAGTTGAGTTCCTTTCAGTTGCCCATGTTCAACTTTTTGCGGAACTGAAAGGAACTGAAAAAAGCGCGAAAAAAATGCTGATTCGGAACTCAAAGGAACTGAAAACGTTGATCCTGATATAATCGAATGTGTTTGTTAACCAAGTGTGCTTAAAATGGACTATGTTTGAAAGATACTTTTTTGGCATTCCATTTATAACCCGGATGTGAAACTACGTAGTATAATGTTGCTTTGTGTGTTCCATATAATACCAGGGGCGGATTTAGGGGGGGGCCGGCCCGGCCCCGGCCCCCCCTTTTGGGAGGTAAAAAAAGAAAAAAAAAGAGAGAAAAAGAGAGAAAAAGGAAAAAATGATGGCCAAGAATGCCTCAAATGTTATGTTCGGGCGTCTAGAACACAAAAATTTCGCGGGGGCATGCCCCCGGACCCCCTACGACAGTGTTGTCTCAATCGGCCCAACTTTCGGCCCCCCTTCCGGCCCCCCCTTTTGGACATTTCTGGATCCGCCCCTGAATACCACAATGTTAACACCCCATCGGGCATTCATGTAGACGCGATAAAAGCTACTCTGCGAAAAACGACCGTAAAGGTCATTATTTTCCCTCAATTAAGCTGAAATTTAGAAATATATATTCACTTCATCAGTTGTAGACTTCGATAATCTATATTGTTACAGTTTTTTAGACCAGTAGGTTACGAATCCCCGACATTATCTGACGTTCTGAGTTAGGGCCTTCATCAATGTGAGGCGTAAATAAGCATAATTGTAATATATATTATTATTAATTTGTTTCTTATTATAATACAATGATCATGTAATTAGTTACTTTACAGAAGAATTGTATTATTTTTGCGTTGTGTGAAATAAAACGAAGTTGAACTTTTTGGTATGTCCAGCCCTTTGTAGAATTATCCATTTAATTAACATTATCATTTTACAATTTAAGAATGTTACATGTATGTGTCATGTATAACGAAAAAGCTGCATAAATCTTATGCTATGGTATCAGATAATCTTCACCATCATTAGTTTTATTCAACGTTCACTCGCATATACATGTAGGAGAATACCCTATATTGTGGTGTGTGTGGAAGTGGTCCGTCATTACTGTAGCAGCTGTAGAGAGACATTTAGTAGCCTCATATTTGCATTCTACAGTGCAACATTGGCTAAAATGAATCTGACCATAATGGGTAACATCCTAATCTTCGGAAAGATACAATGAGCTCTTAAAGTGCGCATGACCCAAACATGTAAAATGATAAAATAAAGTAAATCTGAGAGTGCTAAAAATTCCCTAAACCAGGATTCGAACCCGTTTATTAATGCTGCCTAAACCAAATGCTCCATTGCGGATTCGTAGTGAATTCAAATCTGATTGGACCCATTTCATTCCACTCGCTTACACATGCTAATCAGTACACTCTGAATTACATTCTACTTCCACAGGCTTTTAATGGGCAACAAACTTACCGTCATCAAAGTTGGTATGTTCCAAAATCTCTATGGACTATTGTCAATGTAAGTATTACCTACCGTACGTTATATAAATCCTTTTTAAATATTCACCCGTCACTATCTCAATATATCTGTATCGTAAGTGTTAGTCATGGGAAACAGTACATGTTTCATGTATGGAACTAGAAACATTGGAAGCCCACAGCCTTAAATCTTATCTTCACATTTTGTTATACAATAAATTAAAAACTTCATTATATTCATAATATCGGATACTTAACTAATAGATTTATTTGTATTTGTTTTTATTTAGGACACTGAGAGAAAATAATATCCGCGAGGTACAGGCCAATTCTTTAGACCATATAGAAAGTTTACAATCTTTGTAAGTATTGGAAACAGTTAATAACTTAAAACTGCTTTAAATAACATTTAACATACTCATTATTATAATTTACCTATGTTGAATTTGTAGCAAACCTGAACTCTGTCCAATGTGATGATGTTATGGATCTTTGAATTATCTAAAACTATATTTGAAATTGGTGAGTCATTCACCAAAGATCATTGCAGTTTCCATGTAGTTCACAAATGTGTACGTTACATACATATTGATTGTGAATAACACAAGTAAACAGAATAATAAATATACAATGTGTTTTGAAGTTTATAATTATAATTTTTTATGTTACAATTGATTGTATGTTGGTAGTGAGAATGAGCGAGATTTGTGTAAAGAAGTGCGCATAGCTTTATTCTAGACCAAGACTAGCGATAAGATGCTAAACTTTGTGTGACTAAATCATCTTAATTCAGATTTGATTTTCTTTAGATCTCTGGCGAAGAATCCATTTGAGTCGTTGCCGGATCATGTTTTTTGCGCCATGACTAATACTCTAGATACCATGTGAGTACGATTTGTATTCCAGCAAAGTTCGATGACGCTATTTTCAGGTTAATTATTGAGATTTCTACGATGAGGAAGTTTTGGCTCGACAAATTCATAACACGGTTTCTAAGACTATAATTCCTACAGAATTTTGTTGACTATAGAACCTCAATACTTAATTTAAATTTTTCATTCCTGTTTTAACTTCAAGCTACAAAAACTTTGTGTTAATCTGTACTAAAATTTGTTGCAATGATATTTGTTTGGTATGTCTATACTTATGGATTTTTTTTTATTTCTTGTTTATCATTATTCAAATCTGTTGCAATTTCCGTAAACTTTACGATATTAATTGAAGTCACAGGCTGATTATTTAAAATTCAAAATTATGTTTCAATATATTGTTATTTGAAAAATGAAAATTGTATCTCTGAAAAACTATTTTTGACTATTTGTCATATATATTTCAATTAAATTTCAATATGTTTTAAAGGAAAGAAACGTAAACAATAAAGACTGAAAAGTTTATTCAAAAAGAATGTAGACTTTACGGTACCTTTCACATAAAAATTTTAAAAAATCAGCAATAATTCTGTCGTTTTATTCTAAAAATTCAGTTTTACAATATCAAATATAAGTTTACAATATCAAATGCAAATTGAAATCGAGTTTATGTGACTTCCGTCAATATTTACCCCAGTATTATATATATTATCACTTCATTTTCAGAGAATTCGACTCGTTTTCATTTTGTGGCTTTGCTCCGCATGCTCGTCATTGCTACCCATCGACGGATGGTCTTTCGTCTCGTGACCATATGCTGAAAAGTGTTATTCTACGTATTAGTGTCTGGATTGTAGGGAGTATTGCGCTGTTTGGTAATCTTTTCGTTCTCACGACGCGTCTTTTCGTCAACGAAACAAAACGCGTTCACGCTTTTTTGATTATGAATCTTGCATTTGCGGATCTTTTGATGGGTATATATTTGTACCTGATCGCAATTCATGGAGCGTTATTTCGTGATAACTATATCTTGTATGACCTTGTGTGGCGCTCGAGTGATATCTGCACGATCGCCGGATGTCTAAGCATTTTATCTAGTATGATGTCCGTATTTACGCTGAGTGTGATTACACTCGATCGTTACGTTAGTATTGTGCACCCATTCAGCTACGAAAGTAAGAGCCTGTTCCGTGCAGCAATTCTGATGGGAGTACTATGGTTATTCGGAATTACTTTAGTACTTATACCAATTATCATGAAACAAACATTTGGAGAATTATTCTACGGAAGTAATGGCGTGTGCCTACCGTTACAGATTCGTCATCCATGGGCTACGGGTTGGGTATTCACAACAACATTGTTTGTTGGATTAAACTCTGTGTTTTTTTTGTTTGTGGTATACGCGTACATTGCGATGTTTGTAATGATACGGAGGTCTGACGATGTCCGTTCAACCAAGAAAAGCCAGGACAGTGCGATCTTAGTCAGATTCACGTTGCTGGTATTCACAGATATGCTATGCTGGCTGCCCATATGTGTCATTAAGGTCTTAGCCATATCTGGTGAGTTAAACACATTTTATGCTTTTCACAAAACATGTTCATACTGGTAATTGTCAAAAATATATAATTTGTTCCATCTATTATAATGATAGCGTAATTATACGATAATATGATGACGTTAATAATAATGTTTTCATACCGATAGGTTATCCAGTATCTGGGGATGTGTATTCATGGTTGGCTGTGTTTGTACTGCCTGTCAATGCAGCTTTGAACCCCATCCTCTACACCATCACCAGTAAACTGTTTAGACAACAGCTACGAATCATACTTCATAAATGCCGACGAGCTACTGGTTACCGGCGAGGTAGGCGGGACGACGACTCTGACTCTTTCAAGCGCTCGGGTACCAGATTGTCACTGATCCCTGTCCGATCGAAGGCTTCCTTGAAATCGAAATCAAGTATTGATAAAACCAAGTCAAACTCATGAGCCATCACCAAGCTTATTTCTAATTAAATACGATATTTTCTGAGATATATATATATATATTGTTACAATGTAAATAAAATTTATTTATTGCTCTTGGCTCTTGGTATTGTAAGTTTATAACAGAATATCTGCGCGCACAATTTGTATCCGTATGTTGGTGTTTCAGAGATATTTGTGAACTCTTATTTTGTATGGGGACTAAGATAAGACACAATTTGAATGTGCAATATGTAATCTACACAGCATATTACTATACTGGGTCTCGCTGTACCTTGTCTGGCTGACTCGGCTCGTCTACAACAAGGAAAGTGAAATGCGCACTGAAATACGCACCATTTTCACATCTATTTATCATTTATTCAATTATTTCATTTAAAACTATATAATTATATACGAATAATGTTAATACAAAATACCATTACGTAAATGGTAAGGAAGAAACATGTTCTGGTTCTGACCTTAATTTTCACGATAGGCATATTTGGCGACCCCAACGTTAATCATAAGTTTTGTTGTACGCAACGATGTAGTGTGCATGCTCTTGATATCGTGTTCGTCTACAAGAACATTATTGTGTAACAAACAGCTTTAAATACTACAAGTTTTATAAATCACTAATTATTTACAAGTACGTTGTTATGATCTCTCTGTAGCCATGTGATGGCTGCCCAAACTTTGTAATAGTATTGTTCAGTCCTTCGTTTAAAACATGCCTTCATAATTACCGTATTTATTCGAATAAACGCCCCAGGGCGGTTATTGTTAAGAAGGGGTTTTAAGGGGGTGTTTATTTGAGGGATGTGTAAAATTGATACATGATACTTAATAATTATTTTCACTGTAAATGTGGGACTACAAGATAAAATTACCGTCAAAATGTGATATTGCACAATAAAGGTATTGATCACGACCAGGTTTATTAGATTTTTTTACAGCTTAGGGGCGTTTATTCGAGAGAGGCGTGTATTTAACGTGAGGCTCCAGGGGTGGCGCAAGCGGGGTGGCGGGAGGGCCAGGGTTCCCTGTCGAGGAGATCTGCCCCCCTCTTGTCGGGAAGAAAAACCACAATTCGTCGGGATAAAACAAATGTACATGTATTATCTACATATTAGTTTACTGTAAATAAGCCTTTGATCTAATCCAGTCAGAACATTTATATAGCGCCTTTCTTTGCAGATACGAAGCGCTGCACCCCACATACTTAGACACCTCACAACCCACAGGCAGCTGTGATCATTGCCTAACCAAAGCACAGAACAAGTACACAAATCCAAAGAAACAGTGGCAAAGTTTTAAGAATAAAAATGGGGGTAAATAGTTAAAGAGTGAGTCTTTAAGTTAGACCTAAAGACAGCCACAGATGGTGAAGATCGAATGTGCACTGGAAAGTTATTCCAGATGAGTGGCGCCTCGCACGAAAAAGATTTGTTACCAATACGCTTGTTAAATATAGGTTGATGAAAATTAACATTCAAAGCTGATCTTTGAAACCCCTAAATTGTCAATTTTTTTCGGGGCTTCTCCTTCCCTTGGAACACATTGAGAGATTTTAAGCGACGCCCGACCACACCCACTTTTTTCGTCGGAGACTTGGGCACCCCCTCCTCTGGCAGGGGACCTCTGACCCCCTTTCTAGGAACACAGATAAAGAATATATATGATGTTGAATATATATTTCACATAAGTTTTGTAATAGTAGTAATTATTTGTTACCGCAGTAGAAAAATGTAATAGGTCAGCTGATAAGTATAGTGTATGATATGTGTTTGCTTACGAGACGTTCACGAAACCTAAAGATACGCAACTACCAAGTATATATGAACATTCTAAAAATAGAATGTAAATTGCTTATACAATAGGTTACTAGATTTCAACTGAAAATAAGGATGTGAAAAAGTACTGGCCAATAATAATAATTGCCTATTTTTTATCATTCATGACCTTCAATATTTCCAAGCAAAGTTAAATTTTTTTGCAGTAAAATATCTTGAGCTGTAAATGATTGAAATAGTTATGTTTATCAGTAGCTTATTGAGAGTTAATAACTTGTGTGACATTTCAAAGGAGCATGTCAAGTTATATTTGAATGATTAATGATTCTTTCTCATAGAAAAAAGTATAAAACAGCAAGAGGTCCGATTCCCTGGGTTTCGTTTGAATGCAAATCCTATCTAAAAAAAGTATTATGACTAACTAGGCATTCGTAAATAGGGCGCCCCCTGTTGTTTTGTAGTATTTGTTTAACGTTTCATTGCGTGCATACAAAATCAGGGCAGTCGGACCTTTTGTAATTCTATATTTGCTCATAGTTAATAGAGGCTATGTTCAGACTCACGGAATAACAGTGGCTTAACTAACGCCAGGCGTACACTAATCCGCGGCATAACTGGTCATGGTGTTCAGACACAACGATTTACTTTCCATGATGCCAGCGTTAAAAACGGAAGTTCCGTCATCATTGAGCTTCCCTATTCAGAAACTCATTAGACACCTAGCTCAAAAGTCGAGACAGGTCATTTCCTGCCATCTAGAAATCAAAATTTTCCCGGGGGAGAACGCCCGGACCACCCTTTCTTTTTGGGATTTATCGATTCATGGAAAAAAGAAAACGTATGCATCTACTCATTCGTTTATGTATGTATACACACGTAAAATAAAAAATGAGAGAAATTTCTCTTTTTCAAGAGGGGAAAACCTTGAATTTTGAAGAACTTTAAAAGTCATTAAAAGACATTTCGGAAGTCAGGAAAGCTCATCTCCCGCCATCTAGAAATCGAAATTTTCCCGGGGGGAACCCGGACCTCCTTTAACTTTAGAGTTCATTGATTAATTGAATCATTTTCAAGAAGGGGGGGGGGACACCTTGAATTTTGAAGAATTTAAAAGTCATTAAAAGACACCACTTAAGTCGGGAAAGCTCATTTCCCGACACCTAGGAATCAAAATTCCCCCGGGGAAGAACCACAGGACACACCTCCCCCTTTCTTTTTGGGATTTATCGATTCATGGAAAAACTACGTATGCAACTTACTCAATCTTTTTTTATGTATGTATACACACATAAAGGCCTATTTACTGTAGTAACAATGGAAAAAATTATCTGACCGTTTACAATAGTGGAAAACCTTGAATTTTTAAGAACTTAATTACTTTTAAGTTCTTCAAAATTCAAGGTGTTCCCCTCTTAACAATTATTATAATGAATCAATGAACCAAGAGAAATGAAGGTTCGAGTTCTTCCTGGGAAAGTTGATTTCTAAATGGTAGGCAATGAGATTTCCCGACTTCTGAAGTATTTTTTAATGACTTTAATTTAAAAGACACATCAGAAGTCGGGAAAGCTCATTTCCCACCTTCTAGGAATCAAAATTTTCCTGTAATTTAAAAGACACCTCAGAAGTCGGGAAAGCTCATTTCCCACCTTCTAGGAATCAAAATTTTCCTGGGGGAGAACCCATATATATGGGGAAGGGGGATCTCACAAAGTCATAAATTACTAACCGGAAAAATTATTACCCTTCCCCCACCCAAGACCCAAGACTCCTGTTACGCACCTGCTTATAATTGCCCCCCCCCCACTTTGAAAAACGTTCCGCCAGCCCTAGTGCGAAGTGTTAAGGAGAGCTGTTAATCAAGAGGCTTTGGTTTGAATTTGCTGGTCAATACAATAGAGGGCGTTATTATTTCTATACAGTACTGACATGTTCTCATCAAATCCTTTCTAATAAATTCTCAATAATACCATGCGAGATGTACACAAATAAACGCTTAAAGTATTTAGTTAATACGATTTAATACTATGTGTTCTTTTTTTTTGCATATACTCAACTAATATTACGCAATGTGAACTAAAGCTATCATTAAAAACTCAAAATTTGTTATATTAATAAATTAATAAGTAGTAATTTTAAAGCAATTCAGAATATCCAAAGCACTTTTGCATCACCTAAACATCATCTTTAAAAATCACGAGAGTAGTTGAGGCTGCCGACTCAAATCAATTTGGTTTAGATTCATATCCATGGCTTCAGTTTTCCATACTATTAGGCATAAACCCTAATGGTTGGGCCTAGCGTTGTTTAAGAAGTGGCAGGTTGCAGTTCAGTATCGTGAAAACCTCGACTAGTTTGTTTATTAGTTCTGTAAAAAAAAAAATTAAAATTAAAAAATAAATCTTTTGAAATGACTGACTGACTTTAATTTATTTTTAAAATCATTAAACTAAATGATCATTTTTGGTCATTTCTTAAGCGACTAAATAGAATTTTGAAGTCATTCTAAGGTTTAATATTACTTTAATGAACATGGATATAATTAATTGGGGAGGAATAATTGTCATAGAATTACATGGATATATATAGGCCTAATTGCCAAAAAATAATTTACCTTTTTATCAACTCGGCCTCTTCTATTGTCTGAGGTAATGGAACATTTAAAGTTTCAGGCAAAAGAAATGCAAATAGGCCAGCAGTCACTGACGTCACACTAAACGCCACTAACGGTAAATGTGTCCATAGTTTCTGAAGAAAAAGAATCTGAGGAGCAAGTACTCCAGCCACACGTGACACGGAGGAACAGAATCCTAACCCGAATGTTCTGACGAATAATAAATAAAAAAAACAGGGATTACTAAACAAAATTAGGACGAAATAATATTGAAGGATTTTCATCAAACAATTACAATTTTTAAATCAGTTTAAAATAAAATTATAAATAACATAGAATTCTCTACGACAAAATAATTTGGTAGCTAATATTTTTTTCTGAATAAAAGTAAATTTTGCAGCTAATGATTTCACTTTTTAGTTTAATCTTTAGGATAACATTTCTTGGGGTATTATTATATCCCCAAGTATTTCCAAGTATATAGTCCTACGTTGCCTTTGTCCAATGGAATAATGTGGATAAATGAGGTCAGTACAAATGTACAGATTGAGAAATCGTATCCCAAATTCGTTTTGCTAAAGTCTCTTAATGCCTGTGCATCTGAATTGTGATAATGTTGTCCATTTATGTACCTATTGTGTAAGAATCAAGACCGGATTGCCTGCTGTAACGTTTAGTTTTAAGTAAGTTTGATAATGTCTATTACTGCCTAGTTGCCCTTTCTTTGAATACCCTTCTTGTTTATATAGATGATGAAGTCATTTTAAGGCCTGATAGAATATTACATTTTCGGCTTCTCTTCAAATTTAAGTGTTTATTACTTTCGTGTGTTTAACAAACTTACTTTCTGATTTTGTATTGTAATAACTTCCCTTTAAGCTAAATAAAATATTACTTAAAGACTTGTATGGTGACGTAAGCTCACTAATTGTACTGTATAGGTAATTCGCTGCCTTAACTCAATATTTTTAGTGATACCTAGCATGATATTAATATGACGTTTCAATAATTTTTGTTTGTATATAGGGGCGTTTATTGGTAGGCATACAAAGTACTGTATTACTACGTTTTCCAAAAGCAGACTCACCTAATGTCAGTTGGAAATAGTTCAACAGTATATATGTAGACAATTGAAAATGCTGACGTAATGAAAAATTTGCCAATCATTGCAGTAGCCGTCCTTAATTCAACAAAACTCGAAGCTGAAAAGTAGGGTAGTATGCTGTTAATGACAGTCAAAATTTTAAAAAATTATAAAATCAAATGATGGCATGAAAAAAACCATTTTCGTTAAAAATAGACCATATGTTAGTCGCATCAATAGCCTAATCATTTTTTCAGGAGTTTGCAAGAACACGTCACATTATTAGCCTAATCAATTTTTTTTCAGATTTGAATACTTAATAATAATAATAATAATAAATAATAATAATAAAATATGTTCAAATGCGCATTACAATAAAATAGACAATAATACAAATTTACAATATAAAAGATTTAACATTATTAGAAGATAAAATTGGAAAGCAAAAATCAAAGCATATTAAAAGTCAGACTCAGATTTACTCTATATCATCCTTTTACTGGAATTCGTTGCTCGTATAAATGTGTAACATTATTAGAACTATCAAAATTGGTTAAAAATGTACAATATAGTTTAAGAGAAAAAAATAAGTTGAACTTAGTATTCTCAAGCACACTTCACATCATTTTAAAGTAACAGAAAATGTCATGAAGGCGCTATTGCAAGGAGGAAGTTCGATGGTTGATTTAATGCGATATAAGAAAAGAATCGTTCTACAGAATATTAAACCATGATTAAACTGACTTACGAATCCAAATGTTGACGAAACACGCGATTCCACCTGTCATAAGAGTTCCCCCAAGCATCAAACGTCTACCAAATTTCTGGATGATAAACCATGTAAAGAGATAAGCAAAGGCCTCAGTAAGACCGCCAAGAAAGGTTCCAATATAGACATTGACATTCAGACCCTCGACGCCGTACGTCAGACCGTAGTACACAAGAACGATGGAAAACCTGTTAAATAACATTTTAAAAATGAAAATGCACAGAGATACATCATAACTTGGTGCGCAAGCTAAATTGATGTAGTCCTATGTTTAAATTGTTTGTCAATGTATTTTAACAACTTTGCTCTCGCAAACGAGTAATGTTATGTGTATCAATTTCTTAATGTGAATAAATAAACCAAAGGAATAATTTGAATAAAAAATTGTTTTTTTATCTTGTAGATATTCAACAAGGTTGAATGTATGTTGCTATTCATTGCTTTATATTGATTGACCTTTGAATCTTTTCAGTGCAATGCCAGATGTGTATAAGAGACAGGTTTAAGAAGTGGCAGGTTGCAGTTCAGTATCGTGAAAACCTCGACTAGTTTGTTTATTAGTTCTGTAAAAAAAAAAATTAAAATTAAAAAATAAATCTTTTGAAATGACTGACTGACTTTAATTTATTTTTAAAATCATTAAACTAAATGATCATTTTTGGTCATTTCTTAAGCGACTAAATAGAATTTTGAAGTCATTCTAAGGTTTAATATTACTTTAATGAACATGGATATAATTAATTGGGGAGGAATAATTGTCATAGAATTACATGGATATATATAGGCCCTGTCTCTTATACACATCTAGATGTGTATAAGAGACAGGCTCATTTCCTGCCATCTAGAAATCAAAATTTTCCCGGGGGAACCTGGACCCCCTTTATCTTTGGAGTTCATTGATTAATTGAATCATTTTCAAGAGGGTGGGGGAACCTTGAATTTTGAAGAATTTAAAAGTCATTAAAAGACACCTCAGAACTCGGGAAAGCTCATTTCCCGCCACCTAGGAATCAAAATTTTCCCGAGGAAGAACCACAGGACCCCCTTTCTTTTTGGGATTTATTAATTCATGGAAAATTTGTATGCAACTACTAATTTTTTAAACATTTGTATGTACGTATACACACATAAGCCCTATTTACTGTAATAACAATGGGAAAAAATTACCTGACCATTTTCAAGATGGGAAAACCTTGAATTTTGAAGAACTTAAAAGTAATTAAAAGACACCTCAGAAGTCGGGAAAGCTCATTTCCCACCGTCTAGAAATCGATTTTTTTTCCCTGGGGAGGAATGTTGACCCCATCACCTAGATTTGATTCCAGATCTTCATGATTCATATTCCCATTCATCTTATAAACAGTGGCGTAACAGGCAGGGCAGGGGGGCAGACTGTTCCCCCTGACGGTTTCTACCGGGCTGAACAAGCTGGGTAAGAAGAGAAAAGAAAGAGGGGAGAGGGAGGGAAAGACAAAGAAGGGGAAAGAAAAGGAAAGGAAAAAGGAAAAGAGAAGAGAAAAATAAAGACAAGAATAAAAAGGAAGATATAATGAACAGATATCACAATACCCCTGCCTGCAACCCCTTCTCCACTTAAAAAAGTGACCATAGCGCTTTTGATCTAAGCCGCCAGGTATTCTCCGCAGTGGTGTAATCACCGGGGGACAAGGGGAAAATATCCATCTGTGGAAAGTCTTTCCCCATTGAATGCCCTTTTCACCCGGGAAAGTACCTGGAAATCTCAAATTTTAAATCGCATATTTTGTTGAGGTAGGCCAATTTCCTCTAAAAATTGCACATTTTAGGGAGTTTTGATCAATTCCGACGAAATTAGAATTTAAAAAACAAAAATTAAAGCTTGTGCTTGCCCTCCTTTGCCTTCTAAGTTATTTAAAAACATAATAGTCCCAAAGAAAATTTAAGATAGATCGTTTTACCTAAAAGAAGGGCCTTAATGTGTAATGATGGTGAAAGAATAGGCCTATGAATTGTAATAAATAAAACCACGATGAAAATGCTTATATTTATTTTCAAACACACGCGTGTGCCCTATATTAATATTAAAATAAGCCATGTCGT